TGTGATTTATTATAATATTTGAACGATTATGTACATATTAAACGAAGAGCCAGTTAGTACGGTCATATAATTAAAATAGGAAACTAAATTATAATCCTTAAATAAGATTTATTTTTCATTAAAGTTTGGTGTAAGGTTAAATACTGATTTTGGTCCTTTGACTTTATATATCATGTAAAATCTAGCTAATAATTATTAACTTTTGTTCTGTTTTATTTTTAGTATTATAAATAGAAGATTTTTACTTAATTTGTATTCAATATGGGTACAAAAATTGCTTAAGTGGTAACAGTACATATATGTTTATATGCACACATAGTTTGTGTACCTATGCATATGTACATAAGTATATTTAGGGTAAATTACATAAACTACCTGAAATATTGGGCTAGTTACAGTTTCATACCCCATCTTTAAAAAATTTCAATGTCATACCTTATCTTCGAATTTGTTGCAATGTCATACCTTTCGCCAGTTGTTTGTCAATTCCTCTGTTAAATGCTGACATGGCTTGAGGTGGGGCCCACTTTCTATTAAAATTTAATTAATTTTTTTTTAAAATTACCATTAAAAAAAAAAAAAAAAACCCATCTTCCCCAACCCCTTCCCCTTCCATGCAACCCAAGTCCAAAACCACCCCAAACCTAGATCCCACCCAAACCCACCTCATCCTTCTCTGCCCTTGCCATGTCATGCTCCTCCTCCTATCCAACCCCCAAACCCAAATCCTCAAACCTTCATTGCACCCTCCTCTGCAAGCACTCGCCGTTGCCCACCCTTGACCTCCTCATCCTCATTCTTGTCCTTTTCTCCTTGACCTTCCTCATCACCTCCTACTTTTCCTTCATCTTCAACTCCATCTCCCTCCTCTTCTCTCACTCCACCCTCCACCTCCACCACATTCCCGTCCCCTACATCGTCGGCTTCGTCGCCTTTTTCGCCACCACGTTGTTCGTAGTCGAGTTTTGCTGTGTCAACGAGGGCAATCCTGATTATGAGTGCCTTAGAACTAAGCTTAGGTGGATGGCGCAAACGAATGGTCGTGCCGTGCTGCTATTTCAGGCCTGATGCGGATGCTCGGTGGCCAAGCTCGAAGGCTTGGGGATTGGATAGGAGGAGGAGGATAATGACGTGGCAAGAAGGAGGTGGTGGGTCTGGGGGAGATGTTGGCGTGGGTGGGATCTAGTTTTGGGGTGGTTTTGGATTGTATGGAAGGGGAATGAGTCCAGGAAGATGGGGGTTTTTCTTTTCTTTTCTTTTTAAGGGTAAATTTTTTTTAATATTTTATAAATTTTTTAATAGAAAGTGGGCCCCACCTCAAGCCACGTCAGCATTTAACAGAGGAATTGACAAACAACTGGTGAAAGGTATGACATTGCAACAAATTCGAAGATAAGGTATGACATTGAAATTTTTTAAAGATGGGGCATGAAATTGTGACTGTCCCAATAGTTGAGGTAGTTTTATGTAATTTACCCATATATTTATGTACCAATATATATGCACCTATATATACATTTGTGTATCTATATATATATGAACCCATGTATAAATGTTACCAATATATATGCACCTATATGTACATTTATGTACCTATACATATGAACCTATGTATATATGTACCTATATATATGCACCTATGTATATATTCATGTACCCTTATAATGTATATTGTTTATTGTGTCTACATATTAATTTATTTGTTTGGTTTTGTGATTGTCTGTATAAATTTTTATATAGTTTAATTCTCATTAGCAAAATGATTTAAAAATTCTTCCATTTAAATTACTAAATTTGAAATGTAGAAATAAAAATTTCTATTTATAAGGCCTTATTGATGATTAAATTAGGTATTTTAGAAGAAAAAAAATGAAAATAATAAAAGTGGGCAAGGGTATTTAATATGATTAATAATGAGTTTTAAAATTAGGGACTAAAACTAGATTTATAAAAGCATTCCGGTTATAATGAAAAAATAATCTTCTTTAGGTCCATAAGTATAAATGCCCCTAATTAAAAAGTCACAAAGAAGAAAAGTCATCATCGAGCGATATTAATCAAGACCTAATTTTCAACCCGCGCATGTGAATTAATGGCATGCAAATTAATTAACGTACGCGTTGTCAATTTCTATTGCTTATGTAAATTAGTTAATTAATTAAAATGTGATTTTAATGTCTTTAAGGGATTGTAATTTCCATTTATATTGTTCATTTGAGGATATGTGTATTGTTGTGTATGACACTTTTTTCCATAGTTTGGGTTGAAATTCCTGACAAGATTTTTATCGAGGACTAGTATGTACACTATCCTCAGCTTGTTCTAAGTTGTTTAATGAATATCGTACTTTTCTTTTAAAAAAAATGTATTTTTCCTTCAATTTTTGGATTGATTGCGCTACCCATGGTCGTGCATGGCATTCAAAACGTGTTTAATAATAAGCACGCACACATGATGATCGGGAAAACGTTTTATGAACATATATGAATATTAAACGTTAATAAAATGTTTTTCATTCTTTTCTCATCTCTTTTTAAAGGGGGAGAAGTAGTGGCAAAACACGGTTATCCACTATTTTCAGGCCCGGAGAGGCTATGGGTAATTTCACCCTGCCCGTGACCACAACCAAGCAGACTCAGCAATTCGGAGCATCGAACCGAGGACCTTCCACGTTTTTTTTTATTGGAGAGCCACAGTCCGCGCTCTGAGCATTGGACCACTTGCTATGGTTATGTTTTTCTTTTTTCTTATTTTTTATTTTTTTGAACTTTTCTCTTTTTTCTTATTAGATTTACATGTCTACAATATTGGTTAATAACATGTCTGCTTACATGAATTAGAATTAAAATCATTTTGATTATTGAGTTATTTGCGTTTACTTTCTTACTTTCCTTGTCTTTAACAATACAATTGGAGTATAAAAATGTGAATTTTTCATTAAAATCTGTAATAAAATATATACCTGGAAATTAGTAATTGAATCAACTAGTCTCCGTAGTTAATTGATTCATTTTCCTTACTTCCTCTGTTTCAAAGTTCTCCAATTTAATATTTTTCTCTTTCCTATTAAGTAAATGTGCCATATAAAAAAATAAGAAAAACTAATGAAAAGGGCTTGAAAACTTTGAGTTTTAATGATAAGGACAAAATAAAGGGTAAAGTGAATAGTACCAGGATTGACTTTTTAGTGTAAAAATGTGATTTTTCGTTAAAGTGAACAGTACTGGGTGCTTTTCGTTAAAATTCCCTATAAAATAACTAACTACACTTGGTTTATCCACCCAATACTTCCAAAATTCTCCGAGTTTCCCGGGGACAAGATGATACTGGGTTTAATATAATCTGATTGGGCCTGGTTAGTTTGGTTGAAGTTCGCAACATATCCCAAGCCCACGTATGAGTCCAAGTTGGAGAAGTGATATCCAAGCCCATGTACACATACAGGCTTATCTTTAATTGGATCAGGTTTGAAAATCTAGATAGTTGATGAAGATTGCAGACTTTATCATGATTTTCGAAACAAGAGAAAAAAAAACGACTGGAGACTCGATGTGCAATAATTCATCTTCCAAACACATGATGGTGATGTCTTCCAAGTTCCACCCAAACGTGATTAGTTCTAAGTTCCATACAAAGTGGACTAAATGTGGTGGCTACGTTTTTCATGTCACATATTACAAGATTCAAGATATTAATAATATGATGGATCAACGTATTTACGTTAGATTGTTATTTATTTAAGATACAATATAATTATTAAGCTAACGCTAAATGAGTATTATGAGTTGATACTGCTTACGCTTTCCTTAAGGACTGCAAACGATGGATGCATGTGTTTTTCGGTACTGTCACCTCATGAGCAGCGTCACCTAGGGGAAGGAAGTTTCTTAACTTCCGCTGTCCTTGTTTTCGACCCTTGTTGGGATCCCCTCCGAAATCCCTGTACATCCAAACCACTGAGTTCGATGTTGATGCTGTTTGGCAAAGTCTGCAATCCTGTCGTATGATAAAAGGAAAACTAATGAAAAGGGTATGATAATTTTGAATTTTAACGATAAGGACAAAATAAAGGGTAAAGTGAATAGTACCATGATTAACTTGTTAGTGTAAAAAAGTGATTTTTCGTTAAAATAAACAGTACCGGAAGCTTTTCGTTAAAGTTCTCTGTAATAAATCGAAACATATAAATAACAATCTGTACGGCAGTGTTGTAAGGGATTAGAGTGACTGTTCTGTATGTGTTCTTCGACAATAAGTCACGGTTAAACAATTGAACCGTGCACAGTAAGCAAGCCTCCATGTATTCCATCATCTTTTTTTTTGTTTTTGTGAGCGTCTCTGTCACCAAAGTAGATAGAGGGGGAGAGAGGGGGAGAGAGAGAGATCTCCTTAATTGTTAATTCTTAATTCCCCGACGGACACGTAGCATGTTTATCCACTACAGAAAATTAAGCCTAATTAATTCAGAGCATATTCACCTGAAGTTTTGACATTTTAAATGCTCGACCGGCACCACCTTTGCTAGCTGCTACAACCGAATGAGTTTCCCATGGAAGGACAATCATATAACGACATGTGATTAACTTTAAAAATTATTTTTATATTTAAAATTAAAAATGATATTAGTAAGAAAAAAGGTGTTGAATGCATGATTGAAATTCTGTTACTCCCACTTGCGGTAATCGCAGCAGCACTTAATGTCGGTGATAAGGGGGTTGAAAGGGATAGGATGTGGTGGTGGTGTGTAGAAGCGAAAGTGAGTTGGATCAGAGCTTGAGGCGATGGTAGCTAAAAAGCCTTTAATTTATTTAATTTTTAAATTTTAGGGTATTTGTGTCTATTTAAGTGAAATTTTGGATATATTTGAAAGTTTTTATAAAAAATGACATTTTTGAAATTAAAGGTTAATTTTTTGCTATATTTGATGAGAATAATAACAATGAGTGATGAAAATGTCGGGAAGATTATTAAAAAAGAAGAAGAAAAAGAAGTAGATAGAAATTAAAAATAACAGCTAAGCAGCCATATTTCTCAGGGCCTGAGCGCGATCGAATGATTAGCAACATCCTTTGGGTGTCAGTCAGTCGTATGCAATTCACTGCAGCTATTTACCCTCCAAAAAATCCCAAAATTCCAAATCACCAGCGCCTTTTTTTTATGAATCCCTTTCTGGGTTTTGCTTTACAGTCCTCGAATCGAATTGGGTTAATTTCAATTTCAAAATTTTGATTTGATCCAATCTCAATTCTTCATAAACTCTGTCTCTTTCTGTTTACGACTTTTCATACTTCTGTTTCTGTAGAGTCCACTACTAGGTCAGTAAGTAGGGGTAGGGTTTCTGAAAGCAAAAGGTAGAGAGCAGAAGATCATGGAGCTCAGCGCCTTCTGGGTCCACGTGTCTGTCACGTGACTCTGAAGATTTTCCGTTTGTTTCAGTCGTCGTCTTCCCTGATCCTCTCTCTCTCTCTCTCTCTCTCTCTCTCTCTCTCCCCCCTTCTCTATGTTTGTGTATATATGGCTTACCAGCAACAGCAAGGAGGTGGGCAGCTGTTCAATTCCCCGTTCGGGGACACGACGTTGACGAAGGTGTTCGTGGGGGGGCTGGCCTGGGAGACCCAGAGCGACACTCTACGACGTCACTTCGAGCAGTTCGGCGACATCCTCGAGGCCGTCGTCATCACCGATAAGAACACCGCCCGATCCAAAGGCTATGGCTTTGTCAGTACCCACTAACCCTTCTCCTTAATTTCCCCAAAAATATCAAACATTTGATCAAATTTTGATAAATTTGAAATTAATCAGCTTTTTTGTTTCTGGGTTGTTTTTGTTTGGAGGGTTTAGGTCACATTTCGTGATCCCGAATCTGCAAGAAGGGCTTGTTTGGATCCCAATCCTGTGATCGATGGCCGCAGAGCCAACTGCAATCTTGCTTCTCTGGGTCGTCCCCGCCAACCTTTCCCTTTTCATGGTATATTTTAAATCTAATTCTCGTTTTGTATTTGTTTTCCTTGCATTTTTGCTCTATTGGGTACTTAGGAACTGCTTTTCTAATGCTTGATTTGCTACGAAATTGTTGGTTTGGTTGATTTGATTGCAGGGCAAGTGAGATCACCAGCTCCAATCCTCGGTCGTGTGCAACCGCCTCGAGCTGCTTACATGGGAAGCCCCAACCCTGCTTACCACCACCCTATTCCTCATGGTTACCAGCCCGGGTTCGTGTACCCATCTTATGGGTGAGTTCTAATTTAGAAAGCTCTTGACTTTAGATTATCTTCTCAAGCTTACCGGTTGAGGCCAATTGGGTGTTGGAGCTTATGCAATTTGGCTCCTTTTGTCTTGACTGCAAGAGGCAACATTTCATTCCTGAACACACGACAATTATCTGATCGAGTGTTCTTCTCGCCAACCATTTCCTGAGCATTCCCGTTTTTTAAATTTGAGCTATTAAGTAATTGTTTTAGGTACCCAAGACTGAAATGTTAGCTAGTGAATGTCATCTTTACAGGTGATATAAAATTTTGTGTATATGGAGCAAGTTTTGTGTCAAAGGTCGTTTGTCGTTTACTGTATGTTGAATGCTGGGTGGGATATGCTTGACTACATCGTTACTAACTAGCATTAAGCTGTGCAAATGCATAAAATCACATTATAATGAAAATCTTATGTTGTTTAATTTGCTTTGTAGCTTTTATGCTTGTGCTATAGTATTTCATCTCTTCTGCTAAAGGAACTAAGAGTTTTGAGTTGTAGTAGTTACTTCTTGTACTCCCATTGTTTTTCTTGACACTTAACCAGTGCCCATCTTGGAAAAGCGTGAGATGAAGCTTGAATTCCATACAATGTTGAAACTCCATTTGGCTATATGATTTCAAGAGATTCTTCAATTTCTGTTTTGCAGGTACACAGGATATGGACCTGAATTTGTCTATCCACAGGTCATTATTTTAATATGTTGTTATAAAGCTTTTATTTGCTATTGAAGAGTATAAGAACAATGCTTGATTATTGGAAAGCTAACTTGTCCTGTTACCGTTTTTTGTTCATCAACTTTGGCCAGGGTGCCTACAGTCCTTACATGACTCAGCAGCAGTACCTTCAGATATATGGGGTACCAGGCACCGTTAACCCTGGCATATATTCATATGGACAATTGGGTCATTCACTCCCCGGGAGTCATGGGTATGCAACGGTTCAAAACTATGGAGTTCCAGGTCATCATGTAATGCAATTTGGCGGCTCCAATGTTGGTGCTGCATCCCCAGCTGCCATTCCGACGATTCAAACACCATATCCTGCAGGCAACATTCTCTTCCCAAAACCCTTATTCCCATTTACAAAGATGATAACACACCTTCATTGCAATTTAGTAACTTTATCAGTATTTTCTCTTGAAAATCTTAAATTTTTCCTGATTTATGGTAACTCATATTGTACGCTATGCCTGCGAACCCTATTTCTTTTTTCTGCAAAACATGTATATGATCATACAACATTGCCGCAGTGATGGAAATTGGCAGGAAGTGGTATGCAGTTTAAATAGGTCGAGTGTAAAATCAGTGATTCTGGTTTGCTGGTTTACTCAGGTATAATTGCACCAGCTCCAGGACACACGCAGATTATGCTTCCTACTAATTCTCCTCAATTCACCAGTGGTTCCGATCAAACTGCAGGTTGAGTGGTAAATCAGAAAGGTCACATCTTGAGGTAGAGACTGTCACATTGACAACCTTTTTATTAATCAAAATTGTGTAATTATACTGGACATCTGTCTTTGTCGGGGATGCAGGTAATCCTTAGATTGCAGCAGGACTAAGAGAAGCTACTGCTACCTAAGTGGCAGGCTCTAAATCTAGCCTTGCAAGTTATTATCTTTGCTTTCTAGAGGTGACACCTGCTTTTCCCTTATAAAATAAGATTTTACTCGTAGCACAGAATCGTAGCTTATGAACTTATGACAAATTGCAAATTAACATTCTGCAATGCAACAAGGGTTTAGCAGTGTTTGGAATGGATAATGATGCTTTATCATCTTTGACCTGAAATTAGTTTACTTTTAGCTCTATTATTTGGAGAGGTTTCGTCAGAGTGCGTTGGCACCATGTTCGTGATGAGAAAGAGTGACACACGTGTGTATACACCCGTTGACACCTCAGATTTTTTCCTATTAATTCTGACTGAAGCCAGCAAGTTCCCAACTTTGGGGATTTTTAGCCACATCAGAAACAGGGCTTTTTTCTATAACCAGGAAATCAGGGATCAAAGCACATTGGACCTAATATTATATACATACATACATACATACATACATACATTTGTCACTGTATCAAGTAATACCCTCATTGTTTATTTTTTTAAATTTATTTTCTGATTTATAAAATCTTCTAAATATGTATGATATGTTTAACCATTGCAGGTCATTCATGGTGGTCATCAGAGATACTGCAAAGTCAGCTGTTAGATGTTAAGGAGGGTGGAAGAGCATCATGGGTTGTTGTTTTTTCACCTGGTGGTGTCTGTAAAATATGCCGTTGCTGTGCCATGTGGCTGAAAGTCGCTTGGCGCGATATTATGGGTCATTGCTGTTTGCCGGAAATATGGTTTTCCGACTGCCACAGCGTAATAAGAATGTAAATGTGTAAATAACGCTAAACCATCCCCTGCATCAAAGAATCAAATACGATTCATTTCACGGACTGGGGACCCAACATATGGGTCAATTGTCTAGTCTCTCACACATTGAATTCGGCAGAAAAAGTCATTGTTCAATTTGAATTTGTCTATTCAATCCGCGTTTCGTCATTTTCCTTTGGCTAATATTGAAGCTTCAGCTTCTTCTTCCTCTTTATTACCATCTGGTTTGATTATTTATTGGAGTGAGATTAATATAAATGACATCCGTGTTTGCAGGAGAAAATTCGTCATCTAAACGATTTTGCGTGCGACTCTCACATCTTTATGTTATATGGCTTGATGGTAGTACTCTGTGGTTTCTTCATGCAACGGGACTAGTACTCTCTTATGCAAGGTTCTAAAATGCGCTAGTTGAGTGGTGGGCTGGGGCTAGGCCTCTAGGCGGGGGCATAGACAAATTAGGCGGATTTAAGTAAATTTACTATATATCGTATAAATAAGTGCATTAAAAAATACACAATTGCAGTATAAAATGACATAGGTTTAAAGTATTAGAATATAATGAAAACATGGGGAACAAACATATAACGTATGATCATCTAAGTATTCAACAAGTCTCTACAATATATCAAAGAAAAAATAAAATATAAAATGAAAGTTATCTATTTTCTACTTAAGTGAGAACCACTAATTAGGCCACGAGTTTTTAGAATAGTGGTGGGATGCAATGCAACACATGTTGGCCACCAGCTGACCTCCTTTTTGAAATAAAAAACTTGGAATTTTGAGAATGTCTATATGCTTTCCACATTCTATAAAAATCTTGGGTGTGAGTGGGTGGGTGGGTAGAGGCCCAAACTAAAAGGTAATTGTAATAAGGCCCAATAATCTCAAATCTCATATGCTTCAACCCCAAGCATCGTCGTCCTCGTTATTCCATTTCTCAGATTTGCATCTGTAAAAACCAACTGAAGAGGAAGCAGAAGAGAAAATCGGAGAAAATGGAAGACTACCCAGAAGAAATGAGGAGTCCGCCGGTGAGCCTGGTGTCAGTGGTGGGATGCCCGGAGCTCCACACCTCAATCTCCGCCCACCTCCACTCTCTCTCCCCACCAATCAACACCCTCGCCTTTCCGGACCTCTCCAAGGCCTCACTCATCCTACCCCCAAAGCCCAACCCTACTTCCACTCCAGCCTCCGATTCCTCCGCCCCTCCACCCGCCGGAATAATAAAGCGAGATTGGCTCCTCAAGCACCGCACCAAAATCCCCGCCGTCGTCGCCGCCCTCCTCTCATCCGATCGGGTCACTGGCGACCCGGCTCAGTGGCTCCAACTCTGTTCCGACCTCGACGGCCTCAAAGCCCTCCTCCGCGGCAGAAACATCAAGCTGGTCGTCGTCGTCGTCTACTCCAATCCCAGAGGTCGGAAACCCCGGGACTCGAAATCTGTAAGGTGGATTTAATTGGGTCTTGAAAAGATTGGATTTTAAATTTTGTTGGGTTCGATTTGGTGCAGATGAAATCTCGGAGGATCAGATGGTGGCTGTGCGGAAGCGCGCGGAGGTGGATGCCAAGTATCTTCTCACGTTTTACCGCAACCCAGATGGCAGCAGCGATGGTTCTCAGTTCAAAGAGTCTCTCCATAGACTGGGAAACGTGTTTGCAGAGCTGGCCGGATTGTATTACAGAGACGAAGGACGAAGGGTTAGAGCTCGCATTGAGAGGAAGTCTTCCAATCCGGCTGACCTCAACATTCGCTATTCCTTCAAAGTAAGTTCAAGCTGGAACCTTTTTCTTTTGATCACTAGCTGAATCTGTATTGGTTTTCGACTCTCTGGTGATAATGTATCTATCAATTCAATTTCATGAATTTTGTAGGTTGCTGTGTATGCTGAGTTCAGAAGAGATTGGGTTGAAGCTCTGAGGTTTTATGAGGATGCTTATCACACCCTTCGGGAGGTACCCTTTATTGTGCTTTTCCACATTTTTATGTCTTTCTAGTTAGTTAGTAGCTTCCCAAAAATCCGAACCCAGTAGTACAATGCAAATAGTATGGATTTTCATCAAAGATAAGTCATGGGTGGAATGGGTGGTAACTTTCGACATGTTCAAAATTGTTGAGATTATGTTTGAATTTGCTTGCAGTTAATTGCTGGGGCATCAACTAGTGTGTCGGTGATTCAACGGTTAGTTGAGATAAAAACTATTGCGGAGCAATTGCATTTTAAAATTTCAACCTTGTTATTGCATGGTGGGAAGATTGTAGAAGCAGTTGTGTGGTTCCGCCTGCACAATGCTTCATACAGAAAGCTCATAGGAGCACCAGAAGCTATATTTCTTCACTGGGAGTGGATGGGTAGACAGTTCTTGGTGTTTGCTGAATTGTTGGAGACGAGTTCAACAGCCATTCAAAGCATTTCACCTCTTCCTGTAGGCACAGCAGACAGACCTTTGACTGAGTGGGAACTTCAGCCAGCTCATTACTATCAGGTGAGCTTACCATCCTAATATTTTACCAAATCAAGGAATTGCATGATATATCACCTTAAAGTTCCATAATCAATTTTTTTAGTTCCATCTGTACTGTTTGATTTTCATTCTACTCAAAGCAGCTGCTGCCTGGACAGTATTCTTACAGTTTTCTACCAAATTAGATTGTCTAATTAACCCATACTATACCAACATTTTATGTAGAATGATTGATTAAAAGTTTGATTAGCTTTAATTAGACAGATTATACTTTCCGCTCTGTTGATTCAAAGAACTTTATTCTTAAAACAGTTAGCTGCTCATTACTTGAAGGAGAAGAGATCTTCTTTGGAATTTGCAGTTTCAATGTCAGAAGGTGATATCGATTGCAGTGCTGAATCTGTGGTACCTTCATCTTATTTGGGTCAGTTTGCTCGCTTAATTGAGCAAGGAGATACATTTGTCATGCAACCGTAAGTGTTGATCAATACTGTGAATTTTTTTTTTCTTGACTTGTTTGATTCTCTTACTAAAGCTAACAAAGTTTAATTCAACTTGCAGCCTTACTGATGAAGAGTACATGCGTTATGCTATTTCTGAAGGAAAAAGGTTCCAAGATTCCTTTGAAATTATTGCGTTACTAAAAAAATCTTGTGAATCGTACAATAATCGCAAAGTCAGGAGAATGGGCTCATTTTGTGGATTCCAGATGGCTAGAGAATATTATGCTCTAGGTGATTTTAGCAATGCGAAACAGCTTTTTGATGACATTGCAAGTCTATACAGACAAGAGGGTTGGGTCATTTTGTTGTGGGAGGTATTGGGTTATCTGCGTGAATGTTCAAAGAGACAGAGTAAAGTTAAAGATTTTATGGAGTACTCCTTTGAAATGGCTGCGCTCCCTATATCAGCTGATACTGGTATCCAGTCTTTCCGATTTGAAGAATCTGGTCCAGCTGGGCCTGCGACTCTCCAACAAAGAGAAACAATACACAAAGAAGTTTTTGGGCTTGTTAGTGGAGAACTGAGATTGGCATCAACTGAAAATGGTAATGATCTGAAAGTATCTGGTGAAAGTCCACTTCACCTTGAAGTTGATCTTGTTAGTCCCCTCAGATTGGTACTTCTAGCTTCAGTTGCTTTTCATGAACAAATAATTAAGCCTGGCTCATCCACATTGGTTACGCTGTCATTTCTGTCACAGTTACCCCTTAATTTCGAGATTGATCAGTTAGAAGTCCAGTTCAATCAGTCTGACTGTAACTTCATCATCATGAATGGCCAAAGGCCTCGTGTAGCTGACATGAGTGATGGCCAACCGGGTTGCCGAGTAGAGACTGCTCCTTCTTTGGCACTTTCTACAAATAAGTGGCTGCGATTGACGTATAACATCAAATCTGGTAAACAAAGTTTCTTTTCTGCACTTGTCAATGTTCAGATTATGCATTTAGGTTCATTTAGATATGCATGCAGTAGAAATTGCCTTATGCATCATTGAATTAGCATATAACATGAGTTTGATGTACTCTATTGTAAGTGATTGAAGATCAACTCATAAGTTGTGGATGCCCCATCTGGTTCATCCAGCAATTTAACTGGGTTGAGTTAGGCCAGCTTAGAAAACTTAAAAGTTTCTGTCATTGCTTTATGCTTGATTATTAAATTATTGCATTCCTCCTTTGAGTACCAAGAATTCATTTTGTTGATGGTATTGATAGATCTATCATGCCCTCCTATTATTATCTGATTGTAACACAATTCTCTGACTATTCAGATCAAAGCGGAAAGCTTGAATGCATATCTGTTGTTGCAAAAATAGGACCCCACTTCACAATCTGTTGCAGAGCTGAAAGTCCTGCTTCAATGGATGAATTGCCTCTTTGGAAATTTGAAGATCGCGTGGTCACCTATCCAACCAAGGACCCTGCTCTGGCATTCTCTGGTCAGAAGGCTACTCAGGTTGAAGAGTTAGACCCAGAAGTGGATCTTAGTTTAGGGTCTGCCGGCCCTGCACTTACCGGAGAGAGCTTCATAGTACCTGTTACTGTTACATCCAAGGGCCATGATGTTAATTCTGGTGAGTTGAAAATCAATCTGGTGGATGTAAGGGGAGGTGGTTTGTTTAGTCCAAGGGACACGGATCTATCTACGGATAGTCATCATGTTGAACTTCTTGGTATTTCTGGACCAGACGGAGGAGATGAGTCCCAACTGAACACTGATGAAATCAAGAAAATTCAACAGTCTTTTGGATTGGTTTCTGTTCCTGCTCTCAAAAGTGGAGACTCGTGGTCTTGCAAATTGGAAATCAAGTGGCACAGACCGAAACCAATTATGCTCTATGTATCATTGGGTTATTCTCCAGATAACAATGAAAACACTCAAAAGGTAAATGTCCACAAGAGCTTGCAGATTGAAGGAAAGAATGCAATCATTATTAGCCATCGCTTTATGCTTCCCTTCCGGAGGTATCCATTGTTACTTTCTAGGATAAAACCAGGTCCTGATTCTGACCTGTCAGCATCAATGCCTTTAAACGAAACAAGTGTACTAGTTGTTAGTGCTAAGAACTGCTCCGATGTGCCGCTTCAGTTGCTATCCTTATCTCTTGAAGCAGATGATAATGATGGCACCGAAAGGTCATGTTCTGTGAAACATGGAGGTCAGGACCTTTTAGACCCTGCCCTTCTAGTTCCAGGAGAAGAGTTCAAGAAGGTTTACACTGTCACTTCTGAGATGAATTCTTCAAAGCTCAGGTTAGGTAATGTGTGTCTTAGATGGAGAAGGGATTCTGGGACTGCAGTGGAATCTGGTTCTACGGCTTCAGTTTTAACTACACACAGACTTCCAGTTGTTAATCTAGAGTTGTCGCCTCTTGTTGTGAGTTTGGAATGTCCTCCTTATGCGATCCTTGGAGATCCTTTCACGTATTTTGTTAAAATACAGAACCAGACTGAATTGCTTCAGGAGGCCAAAATTTCATTAGCAGATGCACAAAGTTTTGTGTTAGCTGGGTCTCACAATGACAGCATTTTTATTCTTCCAAAATCTGAGCACATCGTCCGATACAAGCTTGTTCCACTTGCCTCAGGCGCACAACAGCTACCGAGATTCACGTTAACATCAGTTAGATATTCAACGGGGTTTCAGCCCTCAATTGCTGCATCGACAATTTTTGTATTTCCTTCTAAGCCTCATTTCAAGATGGCTGCTGTGGGAGATGGCAGGATGGCTGTGGGAGATGACAGGATGGAATCAGTGGTGGCTGAATGAATCCTGCCTCTCTTGAATAATTTTTTGCAGATACAAAGTGGATGCGATGACAGGCTTGTTAGATGCTTGTTGGATTGGTTTGCGCTGTATTTCGCTAATGTCGAGCAATGACGAGGTGGTTTACTCGGAAACATCAAGTTCAGGTTCGTATATTTCGTGGATCAATTGCATTGCCACATTTTGATTAGGAAATGGTTTGCACCTTTTCGAAGTATGGTTTTATCAACGGGAGGGGCTGAACTTGGAGAATCCTAACAAGAACGTACGATGCTAATGGGGCGAAATATCAAGTAAAAATGGTTTGGAAGACCCAAGTCTGGATGTGAAGAGTACACTGGTTCAACTACTTTCACTGATGGTTGCAGCTGGTGTCGGCGGGGGGACGGTGATCGGAATTGACCGACGGTAACTCGTGTTTCAGATTTATGACACTGGTGTGGGTTGGAAGTAGTAAAAGAGGTGACATTTCTTTGTATCTTTAATGTTAATGATTTGATAAAAGTTAAACAATCAAGGACAAGATGATTTTACAGTTTGCAGTTTGCACCCGTCAATACTTGCAACCAAATGGAATTTTGAATAAGGTTGTGCCCTTTGGAAAACTGATAAACTTAGCGGGGGGTTTTGTAATTAACTATAAAGTACTCTTCAAAACATGGAGATAATAACAAGATAAATTGTTTTTTCTTAAAATTCAAAATTCATGCTGACAGTGGTAACTGTAAACTAATCCTTATCTGTATAGGAGGATTCTAACTTGGCGCGGTAAGAGAAGTACGTTGTCATGACCTTAAACCGACTTGTACATAAATTTAAAAAGATGATCATGCGATCGTTTACGTAACAATCTAATGAAAATTGTGACAAATTTTCATGAAATGATCAAAATGATTTAAAATGAACAAACAGAGACCATTTGTATTTTTTTTAATTGTTAGTAACAAAGCTGAGGAGTTATGCTAATCTCAGAAATCATTTTGGCTAAAAAGTTTGGTTTGGTAACGGAGGGTTTCAAACTCAGGCATAGCAGGTTGTCCAAATTCAAAATTGTAAATTTGATTAAATTCATGGAGTGCAGGAGAACAAGGCTCCATAAGTATAAACCTTACATAATACAACCAAAAAATAACTAGAAGCTGAACTCTACCACCACACATCTCACTCATCATCAGCTCACCACATTCCCCCGACGACGGCTCAGTCTGACCAGCACAATATCTGTTTGTACAACCAATACAGTTTTCACGCTTCTTCCGGAAAAGAACAGGTTTCGCGCTTTAATTTACAGAGACTCCGGACTTGTGGACGGCCTAATTCTTGAAGGCATTCGCATGGGTTTGTTTACTGCACCACCAAATGTACCATGTAGGGAATTCTTTGGTGTGATGGACATTTTGTTCAACGCAGAGTCAAATTCATCGAGATCGTAATGCTGTTCCTCCAAGCTGTGCAAAATCGCATAATCCATCCCGTCCACATTTTCATTCGCAACAGATTCACCTATGTCTTCGTCACTGGAATCTTCGTCAATATCATATGTAGGATGAACCATAGACCAGAAAATGAACTTCGGCCGGATGTATCTTTAGATAAAGGAAAAACCAGTGTCAGAAAAGCTTTCAAAAGAAATTTTTAGGCATTGGATTCTTACAGCTAACAAAACTTTCCTTTTTGACCTTGAAAGTTCAAAGTTAATACAAACCAGTCACTTTTCTTCAGCAAGCACGGGTCAAATGGGAAGAACATATCGAGCCTTTCCCTCCCGCCAAATTCCTTCGTGGCTCACAACCGAAATGAGCCGTTCATAGTCCTTGTTTTTAGCCAAGGTCACTAAAACCCTAAATTGGTGTAAGAAATGCCCAGTTCGGGAATCGGAATCCTTACCGCTGGTGACCCTGAAGTCACCGAGCAAAGAATATCCCTGATGTGATCACGAGGTCGGAATCGGTGAAATCCCCATCCTCCGCCATCTCATTGAAAGTCGCCTCGTTGTTCCTGAACTCGACGCCCATGGTTGTCTCGCCCTAAGCCCACCCTGCGGATCCTCCTGCAAAGAATTTCAGTGCGGATACCCCGGGCGTCGGGGATTCCGGTTCAGCTGGGATAGCAGGCGGAGGTGGCTTGGAAAAGAGAGCGGCCAGCCGGCTTCTTTGCTGGAGCTGCTGCGGCTATGGAGTCCTTGCTTCTTCAGTGTCGTGTGCGGCCCCGAGTGAGAGAGAGAGAGTTTGGAAGAATGAAAAACCCCCAAAAACCAGGGTTTCCAAGAAGCGGCTGCTTCTTTTTTGCATGTATATGTATCATCGTCTTAGTACAAATATATACTATCATTTATACTATCTCTCTAATAGAGACGGGATATATACGTACCCTACCCTTATTAGAGAGATTATACAAATATGACGCAACACGAATCTAGTAAGGATTACAAGCGTAAATACTTAAAAAAAAAATTATGGGGTCCACTAGTTTGATTTGCAAAAGATAAATTGGTTTAATGGATAATTAATTAAGAGATCTTTTCAAATTCGTCCCGCTTGTCTTACATCAAAATATGTGGTAAGTAAAGCATTACTTCTTACATAATTGCATTAGCATAAGCAGCTAGAATGTCAAAGAGCCAAATTGGTTGTAAGCGGATCCCAGAAGAAGCTGCCTTGTCTGGAAACACAAAAGCAGCAACGGTGTGCGGTGCTTTGTTACAAGATCAAGAACAATAGCGAAACGAAATCGACTGAAACTGAGAAGCTAGCACCATTTATCGCCATCACTGTGTTCTTCATTCCTCCTCAACGTAGGCACTAATAACTCAGCTCTCTCATCCTCATTCACCTCGGCGTACTCCCCCCAACCCAATGCCCCAAGCAACGATCCATCCGGGTCAGCGCCATTAAACACCCACTCGTTCCGGCATCTCCATACGTGCCACAAACCAAACACCACCTGCTGCATCAGTCCCGCGCCCTCCTTTTTGTTGGAGTTTTTGGACAAGGCTTGTCTGCCCTCCACTTTCAGTGCCCTCTCCGTGCCTTCCTGTTTGTGTAGTCACGGTTAAACCACGTCAATATTTTATATTATTTTTTTTATAGATATAATAATATAAAAATGAATAGTAATATAAAATGTTGACGTGGCTTAACCGTGACCACACAAAACAGTAGGGCACGAGGAGGGCACCAGAAATGGAGGGCAGACAATCCTTGTCCGGAGTTTTTAGGGTATTTTTAAATGAGTAAATTGTAGCAATGGTTCTTCAACTTTAATCAAATTAGAGTAATGGTCCCTCAACTTATCAAAATATGTAGTTATAATTATTTTCATCAATTTCATCAAAATTTTGTCAAAATAAGTTATGTTGGAATAACCATTTATATATTTAGGGTCCCTCAACTTATCAAAGTGTGTAATTATGGTCCTTTTCGTCAACTGCGTCAAAATTTTTGTCAAAACGAGTTATGTTGGAATGACCATTGCTACAATTGGGTTAAAGTTAAGGGACAATTTCTCCAGTTGAATTAAAGTTGAGGGACCAATGGTAATGAATTTTTAATTGAGGGACCATTGCTCAAATTGAGTTAAAGTTAAGGGACCATAACTACAATTTACTCTTTTTAAATACAAAGTCGATTTATTTCCTAAAATTATGGTTGTGAATATTATCACTTAATTGATAATTAGTACTACGGTCTAGTATTATTACTCTTCACTTGTAAGTGAGAGGTCTTAGGTTCGATTATCATCAAAGGTGAATTTGAACCACATTAGTATGATTCGCCCATTGTAAGGCTTAATCTAATCTTCCACCCCTTAGTGTAGATAACATCGCTTATTCAAAAAAAAAATATCACTTAATTGGTTGGTATCCATCACTTTTTGTGTACCGTTTTTATAACAGCCACATATATATTAGTAGCTATAGTAGCCGTTTTGCTTGTGCATTCATTGGCATCTTTATTTTGACATCAATTATTTCCTTTGTAACTGTTAGTCACTATTTTGATGTGAATCATTATCCTTATATCTCCAAAATATAAATAAGAGTTGATCAAGTGATTCTCTTATTTGAACCACTCATTCATATATGAAGCTTCTCATAAAAACTCTCTCCAATTCTCTCCTCCCTCGTTTATGGATCCCTCATTCTTTCAAATGTTGATATGTCATTCAATTGTTTGGTACCAATGGAAGAATCAAACCGTTCACTCGATCCAAGTATTGCGAGTGTACGCTTATAAGGATCATATGTGGTTGTATCTTGAAAAATAGGACGTCATAACCTGCTATACCGAGACATTATCTTAGAGAGGTGAAATCTACTTTTAAGGACAATGAACTTACAGACCTCAACCTAAAATATTGTTTTAATAAAGGATTGACGAAGAGCTTTCACTACCTACCAAAGATAAGTATTTTATCTTATTTTGTTTATTTTATTTTTAAAATTGTTGTAACAAAATTGTGATATACTAATATTAATTTTATGTGATTTGTTATAACAGAAGTAGCATCCGTATTGCTGAATATTTCCAACACTTTTTTTTGTTGATTTCTCTTATGCAAATTCTTCCAGCAATCTAGGAAATCACCCCCCTCCACTTGTATGATATCTAGTCGCAACGGACTCCCAAACCAAAAACCTGAGCAAACGGACAACGAAAAAATAAGTGATTGATGATCGTTGAATCAAATGCAATGTATCAATAATAAATACATGGAAGGTACTTTAAAATAGAGAGTTTTAACGAAACACTCACAATATTGTTTACTTTTAACGAAAAACCACATTTTTACTTTTTCCTATTACTATTCACTACACCTTTATTTATCATTTTTCATTAAAACTATTTATTTATTTTTAATTTTTCGTTAATTTTTCTTTAAAATATGATTACATTTGTATTTCAAGCCCAATGTATAATTATTTGGTAAAACTTTATTTGCCCCTTACTAAAAACCTATTCATGAGACGTTGCTAAATATTTACCTGAAATTACTATTCCATTTTAGGACAAAAGTGGAATTACCATTAATTTAAAAAATTAATAATAAAATACTTTCCAGGCGGAAGGGCTGGGTCCGTGACTAAAGAGTAGCGTGGGCTCGAGTGGCCCAAACTTGCAAGAGTTCGCCAAGAATCCAAAAGTTGTAGGTAAGACCCAAGTCCAATCATTTTAGCCCAAGTGAACTATTTAAAGTTCAAACAACTCTCAAAATAGTTATTAAAGTAACTCCAGCCTAGTACCGTTTTGGTATCCCCAAATTCTTCATGGTGTACTAGCCAACCACGTAACATGCACACCAAGTTGTTGGGGAGGATTTCCTTGCTATATAACACAAAAAGACACTTTAGTACTACGTTGCAGTGATATTTTTCTTTACTTGTAAGTGAGAGGTCTTAGGTTCAATTCTCTTCAAAGGTAAATTTGAACCACATTATTGCTAGCTCATTGTGACGCTTAGCCCACATCCCCACCCTTTAGCGTAGATAATATGTTTGTTAGAAAAGAAAAAATAACACAAAAAAGAACACTAAGGCCATCTCCAACCGAAGGAATGCCAGATGGCTCGTTTTAGCCCTATAGCTCTCCAAGAAATTAATATTTTAATGAATAGTGCATGATCATATTTTTTACCATCTTCAACCGAGATGCCAGAGGGCCATAGGCCAAACATAGCCCTG